AATGCGTCAAAATTTCATGTCACTTCAATGTAGAAAAAAAGTAGATCATTTCAATGTAGGAAAAGCCTGAGTAAAGTCACATACTCATAGGTAAAGTAGATAAGATGTGTGGAGACTAGCTAGTAGAAACTATTGTAGAGAAGTGAAGAGGAGAAACAATGACCGCACTAGTTTGACTACTGTTCAGTCACTGGTAATCCAAAACAATTTTCTTTTTATCCTTTTATATCTTCTTCATCGTCTTCATTTTCTTCATCTCATGATATAAACATCGAAATTTGTAAACAACTTCTCTTCGGGGGAATGTGATTTAAGTAGCACCCGAAAGATACATCAGCATATGTTCCAATTATTTAGCATATTTCATCCTTCTCTCTTCTTGTGCAGCCACTTGTTCAGTAATCTGTTGTTCAGTAATTTGAGTAGTCTGACAAGACATTTGCTCTATTCTAGCCACTTGTTCAGTAATATGTTGTTCAGTAATCTGAGTAGTCTGACCAAAAATTTGCTCCATTCCTGCCATATCTTTTCTCCGACGTCTTCGCGTATTCTCTCTAGTTTCTCCGATCAAGATGAAGAAAAGGCGTCTTGGCGTATTCTCTCTGATCTAGATGAAGCAAAGGTCAAACACATTTATCACCAAATATACTTATTTTGATTAATCTAATGAATATATGTATTTTTTTAATGTTTAAATCACAAAATATGCCTAAAACAAATTTTCAAAAATTTTCATAATAAATCTTGCCTAAAACAAGTTTATGACTACAACATTACAAAATATATATATTCATTATTTTTCAAATTTAATATGATTATAACATATAAAAATGAGAAATTTTAAAAAATACCACATTTTTCGTGCCACTTTACAAAAATGCTACATTTTTGCAACTTTTACAAGAGTGTCACTCATTTTTCTCTATATTCCCAGATTATCCTTAATTACAATTTTTTTTTTTGAACCAGATATGTTTTTTTCTTCTTCTCTCTCATACTTTTTTTCCTTCTCTCTCTTTAATTCAGATTTCATCGTTGTTTTTATCTTTCTAACCCAGATTTTCTCATCTGAAAATCAGATCTTGTTGTCTCTTCTCTATAGACCAGATTTATTTCACATAAAAAAACAGATCTGGCAATCGTGAAATTGGATCTGAATTTTGATTCTTGTTGCTTCCGATCTGAGATTAGATCTGGTAGATATGTGAACAAGAAGAAAAAAAATGTTCTCACAGAAACGCATATGCAAACTTAAAAAGAGAAGAAGAAGCAAAAACGTTTTTGATAAAAGATACAAAAGACTATGAATTTTTGAGTTTGGGTTAACT